ATACCAAGATTGGATAAACAATGCTCGTCCAATGGTGACAGACTAAGGGGAGACCCAGCAAGGCTGTTGTGTTCAGGTTCCTCTTGGTCTGTCTGAATGGTAGTCCTATTTCTTGGATATAGGATCAGATTCCATATAGATCAGAGGTCTCTATGACTAGTAACAGACAATGATCAGAAAATATCTTCATAGCCAAGTCTCTACACAGAAAGACAAGAAAAAAATAAATATTTCTAAGTTTTATACCTGACTTTGGGGAGAAGGGTTCTAGCCTGAATGTTCTGGGCAGGAGAAGAGCAGAGCATGGGAAAATCTTTCTTCTGATCCCTTTCCTTCAGGTCATAGTAGTCCACAGGCTCAAGTCTTCACAGAAGCAAGTAAAAGGGGTGCACAAACAGACAAGGGAGAAGGAGCAGAGACAGCGGACACAGAAAACAGAAGACAGTTTTGTACATGGGAGAGCACATCATACATGCTTGGTACAAAGTGCGGACGGAGCTCTCAGGAAGATGACAGTCTAGTCAGTTGAGAGCCACGGACAGAGGAATGGGTGGCAGGAGGAGGTTCCCAAGTGTGGAAAACACTTGGAAAGCTCCTGGGCAAGGCATAGAATATGAACTTGTGACTAGTTGTGTCTTGAGGCTTGCAGAAGATGGGTGGGTATAGTGGGGGGGAAGTGAGCTAAGACTCACTCTGTCTCCTCCCCAAGCACTGACATAGCACTTTTCCTAGCCTGGCATCTCTCCCCTCCCCTCCACTTTCAGTAGACTGTTTTACTTCCAATGCCATTAGACGAGAACCTCCAGACTTCTTAGCTTCTTAGCACTGTGCCAACAAACTCACCAGCTCCTACATCCTTCCTTTTGTGTTGGGAGAGGAAGAGGGACCCCTCCTGTGTAGAGTAAGTCCCAGATAGTATGCTGATCCCTCCGCCTCAGCAACCCAGCTCCATCAGCTCAATCTCTCTCTCTGTCTCTCTCTCTGTCTCTCTGTCTCTGTCTCTGTCTCTGTCTCTCTCTGTGTTTCTCTCTCTCCCTTCTTCCCTCCCTCCTTTCCTGTTTCTTTCTCTCTCCCTCCCTCCCCCCTCTCCTATCAGATAGTTCCCCCTTCCTTCCTCCTACAGATTTAGCTGTGAAAAGCTAGCCTACACTGGCTCTCTCACTTCTGTTTTACTCTCTCTAATCTGGTTTACGCTCTCATTACATCATCAAAACCACCCCCACTGGGAAAAGCAAAAGATTCCTTCTAAAAAATGGGCTTTCCCAAGCTCTTACTTTGTGTGACCTTTTGGCACTTGCACGTGGCACCATGAGCCCCCCCCCCACACAAACTGCTCTTTTCTGTGTCCCTGGCCTCTTTAACCTTGGCCTTCCATAGGGTCTCAAAGTCCTCCTGCCTTTAACTCCATTTCTCCTTATGTTCTTCTTGAATGAGCTCATGTGTACTCATGTCTGTAAGAACTCTATGCTTAGATCCCTCAAACCTGTACCTCAAGTCCCAACATCTTTCCTGGGATTTTCATCACAAACTGATTGAAACACAAATTCAATCCAAGCAAGCTGGTGATTTAACCTCTCCCCGACCCCACTCTCTGTGAGGTAAGCATTCTTGGCTTTCTTCTTCCATTCTAGCTTCCTTGCCTTTTCTGCTACTCTGCTAAATGTTACTTTGTACTTTTATAACCAGAAGGTATTTCAAAAATTTAAGTTTAAGCAACACATTCTCTTGTTTAGCAATCAAGACTGCCTTTGCACAACCTATGGGATAAAAACACTCTGGTATCATGAAGCCCTGTTCATTTCTAGATTCACCCCCTAGAACTCATCTCCACAGTATTGTACGTGCTATCAGTCAAGTATGGCTTCCTGTTCCCCACATTGCCCTATTGTCTTTTGTTTTAGAATCTTTTTCCCCTGTGTTGTTCATTTGTGCCTTGAACTTTCTTTGCAGCTTTTTTGTCTAGTTAGTGTCATTTCGTTACTCAGTTTAAGGTTAGAAATTGTTGCGCTCCAAAGGCCTTCCCGACCTCACATGAGTAGGCTAAGAGATACTGTGCTCTTTCCCATTACTCTGTGACCAGCTCTATGAAAGCATTTATCTTTGTCTCTTGATTTATCTTTACCAAACTGGAAGTAGACTGTATCAAACACAGTGCATAGCACATGTTAGGAAACCAGTATTTGTTGAATAAGTGAATGAATTTTTAGCTCTTGCATGTGGCACTGGTGATATTATCCTATGTTGAAGGGGTTTTAACTGTGGTGGGAGTTGGTTTGGGGAAAGGAGTAGACACAATTAGAAGGCTAGGTCAAATTCCAGCTCTGTCTCTTAGCTTGTTACAATGTAAAACCTTAGACAATGAATTTGACTTCTAGGATTGAAAAAGCCCATCAAGGTTCAGGTACTGTTACTGGGTGCTGGCAACTCATGTATAAAGAAATACATGGTAACAGCAATCAAGGAAGCTCAGTCCAAAAATGTGTACAGGCATGAAAACTGTGAACAGGGCAGGGTTGCAGCAATGAACTGGGTGCCTCATTAGGGACAGTGAAATTTGTCCACTATGGTTAGAGCATAAACTTCAGAAGCTGGCAGCAGGAAACAGGTGGGATGAGGAGACTGCAGGAATCAATGGGAGCCACATTATGACGAAGCATCCTTTACATGGTCACTATTATGGAGGTAGTAGTCATTCTTTCAACAAGAGAGCTCCATGATTAGATTTCTATTACAGAAGAGTGGCCATATGGACAGTGGAACAGAAAGAACATGGTGACCTCATTGAGTGGAAGAGGTGGGGACAAGGAGAGGATGTGTACATGTCCACAGCTTGTGATGCACACTGCATCAGACAAGTGCCATTTGCTGATTAAGGTGGCACAAGGTGGAGATTCTTTTGAACAGAGGGTGCTTCTGGAGTAAACTACTAGCAGAAAGCAGGACAGATAAAAGGAAAAATCCTGAAGTTGGGAAAACCAACACTGTTGGTGTAAAGTATTTATTATATTTATATGAGTACACTGTAGCTGTCTTCATGCACACCAGAAGAGGGCATTGGATCCCATTATAGATGGTTGTGATCCACCAAGTGGTTGCTGGGAATTGAACTCAGGACCTCTGGAAGAGCAGTCAGTGCTATGAACTGCTGAGCCATCTCTCCAACCCAGTTATTTTCTTAATTAGTGATGGAAGGGGAAGGGACCAGATCAATGTGGATTGTGCCACTTGGGAGCTGGTAGACCTGGATTCTATAAGAAAGCCGTGGGGAGAAAGCCAGTAAGCAGCAGCCCTCCCTAGCTTCTGGGGTCAGCTCCTGCTTCCAAGTTCCTGCCCTGTTTGAATTCGTGTCTATTGTTTGTTCAATAATAAACAATGATGTGGAAGTGTGAGTCGAATGAACCCTTTCCTCCCTGGGCTGCTTCGGTCGTGGTATTTCATCTTACCAATATTAACTCTAAGAGAATAACCACCTACACCTAATGACCTCCCAATGAAGTAATTTTATTATAAGGATAGGACTGACCTGTTATTGGGTATCTTACATTGATTTATGCTACTCTAGATTCTAGATCAGTGGTTCTCAACATGTGGGTTCCCAACTCCTTTGGGGGGTGGTGTACGAACCACCATTTTACAGGGGCCATTCAAGACCATCAAAAACACAGATATTAACAGTATGCTTCATAAACACTAGCAAGATTACAGTTATGAAGTAGCAGTGAAAACAATTTTATGGTTGGGGGTCACCACAACATGAGGAGCTGTATTAAAGGGTCTCAGTAATAGGAAGGTAGCTAATTAGGGCATAATAAGAAATGAGTTATATATATATATATATATAATGTACCTTGGTTTAGAGAACATCAATTTCTATACTCTTTACTGGTTAAGAATACATTTGGAGAAATGGGATAGGGGTTCATTCCTGCATCTGGCATCATGAACTTGTTTGACCCTGCCAGCGAGATGGAGAAGTTGTCCTTGAGATGGCTGGACCCAGACAAGTGTCTCCTTACAAGTTGTCTCTGAGCTATCTGGACTCAGTCAACTGTTTACAATGGAAGCTGTTCAGCTATAGGGATATGCCTAGGTTCCCTATGGTCTGGGACCTTGACTTTAGTTTCTCCGTATGATTAAATGTGAGTCTGGAAATGAAACGGTAGTAGTTAGAATAAGTTTCTTTTGCTTGTTGCCAACAGGTTAAAGGGCACATAATTATCAATGATAGAAGAGAGAAAAGATACAGAATTTTGGAAATTTGTATGTGAAAAAGAGGTTGCTGGAGACAAAACCATTGTTGTGAACAAAAGAAATGTCAGGACTGAATGCTACTGAAGAACAGAATTCACAACCAGGGTTTTAAAAAGCAGTATTGAATTTTATGACATCATCCAATTCAGGATTTTTTGCACAACAGATCAATGAACTAGCTGTACCCTTATTAGAACAATTAGTGTCTCACAGGAAAAGTGTGCCCAGACACAACATTGTATTAAATGATAACAGCGAAAGAATAAGGCTTCTCCTCATTTTCCATATTATCTACCCTCTCCAGCTCTCGTTCTTCTTGTGAATGAAACTGTTCTCCCGATCCAAATACCTTCAAAAATATTTAAAATCCAAACTAAACCAAACCAACAAAGATTACACATTTGAAAACGCTGCCCTGAAAGACGGGTATGAGAGTTCCGGCAAGGTACACGCAGATCCAAGCCCTCCCACTATTTCCGATGGTGCTGGGACCTCTGGGGGTGCGGAGTGTCGCCGTCCCGCGACATTCCAGAAGTCAGCTGCCCAGCAACAGCGGTGGCAAGCAGACTTTCTCCTGGTCGCCCAGGGGCCTCTAGAAATGAGTGTGAGGTTCTAGGAAATAGTTCCAGAAACTCTTGCGCCTGGAGCCACTGGTGACGCCAGGCTGGTAACCGGAAGTAGTCATGGGTGGATCTGGTCTTTTTGTTCCGGAGCACCGCAGGTTTCTGCTTCCTGCTGTCTTTCCGGACCGGGGCTCTCAGAAGTGGTCCACCTGTTCTGAAGGGGACAGAGGAGCGACTAGAGGCAGGAGAAGAACCGGCAGAGACGTACACGATGGTTTAGAGAAGTGCCATTTGCGGATCATAAATAAGGTTTCAGAAGCTGGAAATTCTTTTGAATGGAGACTGCTTGTGGACTGACCTATTAGCAGAAAGCAGGACAGGTAAAAGTAAAATCCAGGAGTTAGGTAAACCAGTTAGCAAGTTACTGCTGTATTTAAGAGTGAGGCAATGGGCCGAGCAGTGGTGGCGCACGCCTTTAATCCCAGCACTTGGGAGGCAGAGGCGGGCGGATTTCTGAGTTCGCTGCCCGCCTGGTCTACAGAGTGAGTTCCAGGACAGCCAGGGCTACACAGAGAAACCCTGTCTCGAAAAACAAACAAACAAAAACAAAACAAAAAAGAGTGAGGCAATGGGGCTTGAATGGAGCAGATGGATGGGTCCAAGGTTACAGGTGAGGTGAGCACACGTGTGTGCACATGCCTACTGAAGGCAGAGCCAGTGTCAGATCCACGGAGCTAGGAGACTGCCAACAGGAACGAGGATGTGGTTAATAGCACCGATTCCTCTACCCCACACTCTACTGTCTTTCTTACAATCCTGTCCCTTTGCCCTCGTTAACCCTTTAAAGGTCCCGTATTTCTATCCGTAGATTCATTTGTCTGCAATGACTGCTTCTCTTGGATAGTTCCTATTGTATGTCTTCAGCTGGTATCTCAATACCTTAATCTCTTTAATTTTGGGAGTCTTAACAGGTTTCTAAAATTTGAAGAGTTCTTCAATGTTTTTCTGTCTCTTGCAGGGTCCCTGAGCCTTGCCCATCCTTTGGTAAAACATCTCTTCCTTAAACTCCCCTCAGTTAAATCCTTTGAGCATTTCATTGGGTTTCTTCTGAAATCTTGATCAAACCAGGTAGTTCAGATAGGGAAGGACTGAAACCCCCCTTTCCTGTCCATGTCCCTATCTCCCCAATTCCCACCCCCTTGCTCCACTTGTTAGGAGAACCACATGAAGACCAACCTGCACATTTGCTACAAATATGTAGGGAGTCTAGGTCCAGCTCCCACATACTCCCTGGTTGGTGGCCCAGACTCTGTGAGTTCCCATGGTTCCAGGGTTGTTGACTCTGTTGGTCTTCCAGTGGTGTCCCTGATCCCTCTGACATGCTACTTCTATCCCCAACTCTTCCACAAGACTCCCCAGGCTAAGCCTGATGTTTTGCTGTGAGACTCTGCATCAGCCTCCATCTGCTGCTGAATGAGGCCTCTCAGGAGACAACTGTGCTAAATTCTTGTCCGCAACCATAGCAGAATATTAGTAATAGTGTTAGAATGGGTCTCAAGTTGGAGCAGTCATTAATTGGCTGTTCCCTCAGTCTCTGCTCCATCTCTATCCCTGTACATCTTATAGACAAGACAAATTTTGAGTTAAATATTTTGTGGTGGGTGGAATGATGTCAGCATTCTTCCTCTGGAAGTCCTACCTGGCTACAGGAGGTGGCTACTTCAGTCTCTATATCCTCCCCCCTCCCACCCCGGTAGAATCTCAGCTAAGGTCTCCCCTGTAAACACCCAGTACCCTCTCCCATCCCAGTCCTCCAGCTAGTCACTGGAAATGCACCCCCCCCACTGATTTCCATTTTCACTCTCAGCCCTCTCCTGCCCGCTTCTCTCCCCACACCTGATGACCCTAATCCCCTCCTTACCTCCTCCCTTACACCGTTTCCTCTCCATCCACATCCAATGACTATTTAGTCTCCCTTTCTGAGAGAGATTTGCACATCCACCTTTGATATCCCCTTATTACCCAGTTTCTTTGGATCTGTGGACTATAGCATGGGTGTCCTGTACTTTACAACTAATGTCCATTTATAAGTGAGTACGTCCCTGTGGTGTTTGAGTGCTTGGCCCATGGGAAGCGGCACTGTTAGGAGATGTGGCAGTGTTGGAAGAAGTGCATCACTGTGGAGGTGTGGATGTGGGCTCTGAGAGCTTCCTCCCAGCTGCCTGGAAGACAGTCTTCTGGCTGCCTGCCCAACCGAGATGCGGAACTCTAAGCTCCTGCTGCAGCACCATCTGCCTGGATCGTGCAGTGCTTCCCTCTTGATGATAATGGACTGAACCTCTGAACCTGTAAGCCAGCCCCAAAAGAGTTGCCTTGGTCATGGTGTCTCTTCAATGCAATGGAAAGCCTAACTAAGACAGTAGCTCATACCAGGGACTAAAAGCAGTGATAGGCCTGACCATACTTTTGTTGGGAGGAATATGGACTTTGGGATACTGAGCAATAACATAGGTGTTTCTGGCTCTAGGTTCCTCACTCAGGGTAATATTCTCAAGTTCCATCCATTTCCCTGCAAAATTCATGATGTCTTTGTTTTTAATAGCTGAGGAATATTCCATTGTGTAGATGTACCAACATTTTTTTTTTATCCATTCTTCTGTTGAGGGACATATAGTTTGTTTCCAGTTTCTGGCTATTATGAATAAAGCTGCTATGAATAAGTTGAGCAGGTGTCCCTGTAGCATAGTGGGATATCTTTTGGTTACATGCCCAGGAGTGGTCTAGCTGGTTATTTAGGTAAAACTATGTCGAGTTTCCTGAGAAACTGCCAATTTGATTTCCAAAGTGGTTGTACAAGTGTGTACTCTCACTAGCAATGGAGGAGTGTTCCCTTGCTGCACATCCTTGCCAGCATGTGCTATCACTTGAGTTTTGGATCTTAGCCATTCTGGTGTGTGTAAGATGGAACCTCAGAGTTGTTTTGATTTGTGTTTCCCTAATGACTAAGGACACTGATCATTTCTTTAAGTGCTTCTTGGCTTCTGTTGAGAATTTTCTGTTTAGCTCTATGACCCATTTTTCAATTGTGTTATTTGAATTGTTGGTGTCTAGTTTCCTAAGTTCTTTATAAATTTTGGATATTAGCCCTCTGTTGGATATAGGGTTGGTAAAGATCCTTTCCCAATCTGTAGGTTGCTGTTTTTTCCTGTTGACAGTGTCCTTTGCCTTACAGAAGCTTTTCATTTTCATGAGGTGCCATTTATCAATTGTTGACCTTAGAGTCTGAGCCACTGGTGTTACATTAAGGAAGTACCAATGCATTCAAGGCTATTCCCCCACTTTCTCTTGTATTAGACTTTGTGTATCTGGTGTTTTGTTGAGGTAAAGCTGCAGTGTTTTAATACCACATCTTGGAAGCTCTATGACGGTTTCATCTACTCATTTTAGATATGATGATTCATCATTGCTGGTGTTTGCCCATTGCCACAGATGCTCATGAAGTAGTTTGGACCACTCTACCCTCTCTATGAGTGAGTTTCTCTCACCTTTTCTTTTGTAGCCCATGTCCAATAATTCACCTAACAGATATATTTTCAGTAGTTGCTTTGTCTCAAAACAGAAAAATTTTCTGTTTTGTTCAGGCTGATTTAAGACACTTGGGCTCAAAATGATCACCCCATTCCAACATCCCAGATAGCTAGACTTCAGGTAACACAGCACTGTACCCAGCACATTTTCAATCATAATGGTTGTTAGTCTATATTTCTGTAATTGTGTGTCTACATGCACACATGAGCGCTGATGTGTGTAAGACTAATCCTCCTTTTGCTCTTTAGCTGCTTTTTCCTCCTCCAGTGTCTGACAGCAGCAAGCAGTGGCAGTACCCAAGCAGCAGCAAGTGGCTTCCTGTAATGCAACATTCCCTGTACAGGCTGTGGCTCTTATGTGAGCAGCTAGTGTTACTACACTCGATCTGAGGTCTGATACCTGCAATCTGAGATGTTGCAACTCTTTGGAACTGTTCTGGGGACTAGGGCCTGAAGGGTCTGTTCTCTGGCTCCTCATAGCCTCTTGTCAGTGTTCTCTACTTACTCCTGTCCTTCCTGCTCCCATTCCTTTCTTCCTTCTGTCCTGGCCACTGTCAGAACTGTTTGGCAGCTCCTGTTGTTACCAGTAGCTGCTGCTAGGACATTTTGGGTTACCTGCCTCTTTTGGAATAGCAAAGGAGAGTGTGGGATACCCAAGTGCTGTTCAGAAACTGAGCAGGGATCAGAATCACTTAGGGATAGACAGTATTCTCACTAGCACAGGATGCTTAGAGTGAATGGGCTCTCCAGGCAGGAACAGAACCACCAGTGAATGTTGGTTTATGAGAGCCACAGATGGGTGGGCTGCCAGATCTTTGGCTGCCAAACTGCAGCTACTGGAACTTTGTGCCAGAAAGCCAAGGGTTTAGGAATACACACTAGAAACTGGAAGCTTGGTGGTATTAGCCCTGGGGACAGCTCAAGGTCTGTATTTCAGTAGTATAGGGCTCTGTGACTCCTAAGATGCCCATAGTTTTTCAGTTATCAAGTTGTTCTCCTGTCTGGATCACTTTCTGTGGAACCTGTGGATCAACCCATGTCCAGGACATCTGCCAGTTCCTGTGGCTGTCCTTGTGTAGCTGGCAAGGCACTCTAAGGCTACTTCATACTGCCTGTGTTTTCTGAGCTTATTTCCTTGAGTTCCCAACTATCTTATCCAGCATTACTGAGAATAGACAAGAAAAGGCCTGGAGAATTCTTTCTTGACTTCATTTTGCTATGCCAGGAAAGGTAACACTGGTGAGTCTCTCTCTCCCAGTGGATTCACTGAGCACACTCGAACTGCCTGCTTATCATTCCCTAAGGATATTTGGAGCTTTCATAGCCATTTGTGTGGCCAATCAGAGTTAGTCAAGTTTATACTTTAGATTAGCCACAGCCTTCCTACCAGTCATGATAGTTCCTCACAGGGGATATATGTGTTTGTGAAGATACATTACAAGTACATCAAAGACATGTATGTTACATAACTATTGAGTACTGATTGATTCTGCAAAAGCAATCACACATGCTATGGCTTTGAGTGATGTTGAGGGCATCATCCTTAATGATGAAAAGTCCTTGGTGATGCATATCTTTGTCCTGAGACTTGAAATCTAAGGAGACAGCTATCAGACCTGAGGATAGAAATTCCACTCTGAGGGAAAAGAAGGTAACTTTTTTACAATCAACACTTAGTTTCACATGCATCACACTGAACACTGAGATTGAGGGGGAAACTAATTCGGTTCTCTTTTTCTTAGTCAACAGAAGCTTCTAGAAGAAACAAAACAAAGCAGAGCAAAGAGGCAGAAGAGTCCAGCCTGGAGACCTTTGTGGAGTGTGCATGTGTGTGTGTGTGTGTGTGTGTGTGTGTGTGTGATGCTGAGAAAGGTTTAACCGGCTCCCACTCTCACCCTGGATGTTGGATATATGCAATCTGTGTTACAGATCAACAGATAAGTAAAAACAGAATTTTCCTTTTAGAAGTATATTTATTAAGAATAGCTTTTGTGAAAATCTGAAAAAGTCTTAAATAATTTTTTAATTGTGTGGAGGACTGTACTTATGAGCTGGTGCACATGGGGACAGAGGAGAGCATTGCATCCCTGCAGCTGGAGGTCCAGGTGTTTGCTGGGTTCTGTGAAGAGAACCCAGGTCCTTTTTTAGAACAGTGAACATTTAAACCACATAGTCATTTCTCTAGCCCTGTAAGTTACAAAAGATTAGACTATTTTTAGTAAATTGAAACCCAGATCCTAATGATGAACCCAAAATAGCTCTAACATAGACCTCGATGTGCTAGAGCCAGGAGAATAAGAGGTACAGGGACTTGTGTGAGCATGATCTGGCTTGGACATGTTACCCATTGATCAGGGATTGATTTGGGTGATCTGACTGGCTAGGCAGGTGCTGCTTTTTCCCCCTCTCCACTCCACATGAGCCCCATCCTTGCTCAAAGAGGAGACAGAGGAGGAACATTCTCTGGGGAAGTGTAAAGGACTAGCAATGCTTCTCTACTAGAACCTCCCAACAAGCTTGCAATATCTATTTCAAGAGAATGTAGCTTAGTTTTCAGGAACCTAGGCACATCTAAATGAGTTACTACATGTGGCAGTGTATAAACAAACAAGCAAACAAACATCTTAGTGCCTAGAAAAGGCATCT